CCAGCAGCACCGAAAGCACCCGAGAAGCCAGGAGTGGCAGGTGAAGTGTTGATAAAGTCGAATTTTGCTGCATGATGAAATTTTATTCTATCCACTGGAAAAGATCAACGATTCCGAATAAGTAATCCAAAATTGATAAGATCCAAAAGATAAGAGCCAGAGGATTGACACGGTTGAATGATATGTTTGAAGGTACGTTCGATCCGAATTATCAAACACTGGCTGGTGTTGGTGGTGACGTCTTCGGAGCGGACAAGAAAGCTGCCGGAGGAGGAGGTGGAGGAGGTGGTGCTGGAGGAGGACCAGCAGCGCCTGCAAATAAAGATGCTAAAGCAGGCACCTTTGACCCCAATTATCAAGTATGTTCTAGAGAAGACTTTATCAAAATTTCAGCTTGATCGCTCTGCTCTTCTTATGATCGATTGATCAAAAACGAATGTCCTGAGCTATCAAACGTTGAAGGATAGTTTGGAATAGCACGAAGTCGACAACAAATTCAAGAAATCATTATGCAAACATGTTATATTCTTTCAAAATTAGCATCGAGTAGCTGCACTTCATTAGTTTCGATTCATGCTAATCTTTCTCGTTGAACTTCACTCGAGCTGGTGAAGTATACGATATGTGGCATGGAATCAGCTGGAATCCTTATTAGAGACTGCTGCTGAGGTTTACTATGATCAAGTTCAATGATACAATTTGCAGACACTGGCTGGCGTCGGAGGCGATGTGTTCGGTGAAGATAAGAAAGCTAAAGGTGGTGGTGGTGGAGGCGGAGGCGCAAATCCGAGAGCACCGGATAATAAAGATGCAAAAGCGGGAACGTTTGATCCAAATTACCAGACATTGGCTGGTGTGGGTGGTGATGTATTTGGCGCTGATAAAAAAGCTGCTGGAGGAGGTGGCGGTGGGGGAGGTGCTGCAAAAGTACCCGAAAATAAAGATGCTAAAGCAGGAACATTTGATCCGAATTATCAGGCTAGTCATGCAATATTCTATTGTTTGGCTTCAAAAACATTCAAAAGTTTTAGTCGTTCGATGATAATGTGAGATAAATGCAAAACTCGTTGAATCTAGGTACCTGTCGAATACATGCAAAACGTTCTTCAATTCCAAAGTATCTACGACATTACCCAAAAGCCATGCCCAGCAGTGGGAAACCAATTTCATTCATCAGCTAAAACGCAAAAAATCACGCATTAAGCTAGTTACAGTAAAACTAGCGATTTGCGGTTATACTTCATTCAGATCAACCAAATAAAAGCGAAACTGCTTCAGAAGGCTAAAGGAGACATGATTTTAGTGTAGAACGTTTACGGTGACATCCCATCACCCAATAATTGAGCCCCGAATACCCGGCTGCTTGCACTGAAACTGTTGCTGACTGAGCGTACATTAAGCGAAATTTGAGGCGAAGCATTCGGGTGTTCGATCAGGTATTTTTGGAACCTATGACGGGAATTTCTGTTGATGTGTGGTACCCGATGTTGAAAAATCAACAACGTACTGTGAAGCGATTTCCAAGGGTAGACCAAATGCTACCAGAAAACCTTAAATTAAGTGAGACTCGGCAGCGATGTCCGAGTGGTTAAGGAGTTTGACTCGAAATCAAATGGGCTCTGCCCGCGTAGGTTCGAATCCTGCTCGCTGCGTTAATTTTTATACGGAAGTATTAGCTATTGCTTGCTCATGTTACGAACCAAATGTTAATTAACAAATGTGTTAATAGAGAACTTTACGCTGCAGCGGCACACAGCAGCGATGTCCGAGTGGTTAAGGAGTTGGACTTGAAATCCAATGGGTTCTACCCGCGTAGGTTCGAATCCTGCTCGCTGCGTCAATTTTTGCCCACGAAAGCCGGGTTTTATTTTGATCAGTATTTCATTTATAACCAAAATCTGGTGCTGATAAACAAATCATTGCATTACAGTACGAGTGGTTAAATCTAATGGGTTCTGCACACTTACCTTCGAATCCTAGTGCTGCGTATTTTTTGCCTTTGGATGCCAATATATGGCATCGTTGTGCATATCAGCCGGTTCAGGATAAAATCATCATTGTATTTGCAGACATTGGCTGGAGTTGGTGGCGATGTGTTCGGTGCAGATAAGAAGAAGTAGATGTGATAAACAAATATTACTATAATAATAACAATAATTCAAAGGAATGTGGATAGCCCCGACACGATCTTTTTATTAATAATGAAGATATATTCCAAAAATCAGTATCGATAATCGCCTAATATCTATGACACTAAGCAACATTTCATGTGTATCGTCATAAGAATAAGCGAACGTTTTTCAACGTTCATGCGGTCAACTCTTCTTTGAATAAGAGCAGTTCTATTTGCATATTCAATAATCATGAGAATAATCAATAAATGATATTGATCAACATTGCATTTGCTTTGAACATCTTTTATTGTCATCACAATCAATGTAGTTCTCATCAAGAGAAGAAGGTAAGATCGATCAGCACCGTCGAGGTATCAACTGGGACGAATTCGATTCATTTACCATTGATCACACTTTGCTTACATTGCTTGCTTACACCTCTTTTCCCATATAAAAACCAATAGTTTCAACTTTTTTGCTTCATTCTTACCGATGCTATGAATACTTTTCTTTCCGTCTCACACAGTCACCGACGGCTTTGGTTTCTAATCAAAAAAGAATCTGTGAAATCCTCACTTTACATGCGTTTCGTCTTACTTAGTATCAGCGCTATAGCATGCTAATTTTAACAAAATGCAGACAAAATTCACACATTTTCGATAGAGAGTGTTTATTTTCAAAGGCACGAATTGAAAAACGAACAGAATACAACAAACAATTACAGCCAGTGACAATACTAAAAGTGGACAACTTAACAACGATGAAAAGAAATAAACGTACAAGACACAATAACAACAGGACTGAAAGCCGACAGATTTTGCCTGTGGCCACCGAATGCGGTCTTTCCGGCCCTCCAAAGAAATTCATTCGGTTTCGATCCGTTGCCACCGCCCAACTTCGAGCACAACGCAACATAAACATCCCATTAATGTGATAGCAGAGATCAACTTCGATGAACAAAGCTAAAATATCCTAAACTTAACGGAGTTCCGAACAGTGTAATCGCTCACATTCCGTAAATCAACCAAAAGTTTTCGCGTAATCAAAAAGTTTCAAGGAACATGAACGAAATCGCTCGGTAGTAAGTAGATGAGCGGTGATTGAACAAGTGAATAAAAGCAATATGAATAATAACAACAACAAAATCAATCAAGATACAAACAAACATAACGACTAAGCAACCACTCAAAAAATGGGCTTTCCATTCGAAAATGCACATCAACATGGGCATCAATGGATCAAATCACCTATTCAGCTCATCGTAACGGTTCAACAAAAAAAAAATAAAAATTAACAACTTTCACGTGAGTGCAGAATATCAAATTATCTTTCATAACAACTTATCGATTAAAAAATAGAACAATTATAAAATAGAAATGATTCAAATATTCTCCTCTTTTAGGCTCTTTTCATAGCTAAGAGCACCAGATAACTAATCGTCATCATTAATCAATCAATCAAAAAATGCAATCTCAATCACTTCAATACGTCATCACATCGTCCTGTAACGAGATTGCCGTAGTAGGCAGTAATCGCCTTGATTTTTGTATTCAATAAATTTTGCTCGATTTCGCATGAACCACCTGGACCAGCCAGTGAAACTAACTGAAACAACAACAAACCATCAGCTATTTCAGACATTCGTTCAACAACAACAACCATAATTACGTTTACTTAAAGTAACACAATTCAAATCATCATTCAAATAATTCGATTAACTCGAGGAAATGACAGTTAATTCCTCACTCCATATTGATCACAAAAACTCAAAATATAACTCAAGTCAGTTAATTGCATTCACAGAACAAACTGCAAACACCACTCATTTTCTGCAAATTTCACAAAGAAACAAGCGCTCACTCACCTGACCAACCGTCGTTTGTCTCGGTAAGAAATACGCTATATTTGAGGTAATTTTCTTAGCAGCGTTGAAAATATCGAAACCATTCGGTGTTAAATGAGTGTTCAAATCGAACTCCTTCAAAATGAATAATTTATTATCCGTTTGAACTGATAGTGCACGACAGACCGATATTCTTTCAAAAGAAAAGCAGTAACACTCACAAATAATGAAAACATATTGTTCATGAGAAAATTTGATTCCATTCTGAGCGAGCGATTCATATGCAATTTTGATCAGAATAAATCTGAACTTAACAAAAACTGCCTCAATCTAAACACGTGAAGAGTGTAAAAGTGGAAAATAGACTCTCTTCCATATTTGCTCG